TACATTGGGGCTTGTTGTTGGTTTTAGAAGTTAAATCTGTCTCAAAGCCTCACAGGCTGATCTTGTGTGTACTTGAGTGTCTTTAGAAACTGAAAGTGACAGCGTGTTGGCTGCTGGCTAATACCTGCACAGGTGAGGTCACCCACTCTATCTCAGGCTGTTCTCCTCTCAGACACGCTCAGAAGGTTAAACCAGTGCCCGGTGTTGTTCAGTCACTTGTGTTGACCTCAGGAGATGGTTGAGGTAGAAACCTGGCTCAACCATGTGTCATGTCCACTTGAAAAAGCCTCTGTTATGTAACTGCGTCATCAAAGGTCTGCCAGCAGCAGCAGGTAAGAGTCTTAACGGTTAATTGTCGGCAGTGATCTCTGACAGCCAGAAATAGAAGAGTTCTTAGGGTGACTTGTTGAAGGGATGTTCAGTGGAGGTCTGAACTCTCATCCCATCATTTCTGCTTTTAAAATACACTGAAACCTTCAGCCAGGACAGAGAGGCCAGGTGACACTTTATTTTAACCACACAATCAGTGTGGAGTACATAGATGTTTCTTAAATGGTGTATTACAAACTATAATGTAGTGTTTATTAATGGACGTCTTAATAGGAGAATTTGCACTTGTTAACAAATACTGTACATTAATAAACACCTAAAATTACCTTATGTGCTACAACTACATTACAATGTGTTATTAACCATTTCTTGAGTATGTTTTATTTACCCTACTGCTAATAGATGCTGAATGCGGAAGCTTAAAGTAAAGTGTTTCCAAGAAAAATATGGGACAGGACAACATTTGCTCTGATGAAACTCCAGAGTCAACAGTGAAAATTTAGCTCACCTGCATATCTGTGGACTGTGGGAGGAAACGAAAACCCACAGGGAGTAACATGCAAACTGCGCACAGAAACTTCACCCAGTCGTGTAAAACCAGCAGGATGTTTGTAAATAAGAAAAATACTTGGCTTGTAGTGTGAGACAAATATCAGTTCTTATAACACGGTAGAGTTGCAATTGAAAATTATTTTTATGATTGATCAATCTGTCAGCTCAATTTCTTTCCATAAAATGTCAGCAAAGGGTGAAAATTATATTTTGATGAGTTCAACTAAACAGAGATATTCAGTTTACTATGAAGAAATGCAACAATTCCTCAGATGTGAGCAGCTGGAATCAGGAAATAGTTAGCATTTTTGATTAATTAGTAAAAGGGGGAAACTATCATCATCTTCACATTGATCTTGAATCTGTATTATACATAAACATATATCAAACCTCTGGCTGAATATATCTTATAACCAGTGTTGTTGTTGTTGTAAAGCTGGTGAGAACAACACTAATTAACCTTCCTTTCCTCATTTAGAGTAATGGGCAGGGAAACATTTTAGTCGCCTCTGTTCCTCCACATTAACATGTAAAAAGTCTGTCTGAAAGGCTCCTGTGTGATTGGAGCCGCAGCTAAAAGCAAACAATTAAACAAGCTGTCAGTCTGCACAGAAAGTGTCATTAAACGCTAATGTGAATGAAAGGCGCTATGTGAACTAATGTTTTTTTTGCCTTTTTTTTGAGAAGAAAGAGAGTGATTGTACGGGTCAGTCGTCATGACAACGCAGCCCCAATAATCATGGAAAACGCTCCACAATCCATTAAGCAATTAAAATGCAGATTGCACAGTACATGGTGGTCCCGGCCACCACATCAGACGAAGAATGAGTTTGTGAATTAAATGAATGGAGGTAGACTGGACGACATCGACTGGTTGATTAGCTGAATTACAGTGTGTGTGTGTGTGTGTGTGTGTGTGTGTGTTGTGTGTGCGCGCTCTGTACTGAGATGCTCTGTACAAGAGTTGATAGATACACATCAAATATGATTTATTTGTTAAAGTGAACAAGGCTTATGGTGAGTATATCTATATAGTCTCTTGTTTGGTATAGTAAGTTTCTTTTGTAAAGTCACACGGCTGATCTGTGGACAGAAATGACCTCTTACACTGCCTCGATGGAAACCAGATAGTTGGTAGTCAATTGTTGAACGAGCAACCAAACAACATTCACCAGGGAAAAGTAGCTAATTAGATGCTCAGCTGCAGCACGTTAAACAGCAGCATACCTCCAAATGTCACTTGAGTCAGGTCGGATGCTGGTGTGGTCCTTACTGACTACAAAAAAGGGATGACTAATGTGATTTCAGTTGTAATTTTAAGAGACAAGGATGAATTCGAAAAAAAAGCCAAAATGGAAGATTGCGCAAAAATGGCATTTAGACTTTGAATGACAGATATAGGAAGTTAATTTGGTGGCTGTAAGGCTTTCTAAAATATATTATATATTACATTATTTTCCACTGAGAGCTAATAAACTTGTTGCTTTCAGCGAAATGTCAGGTTGTTGTATTCTAGTGGCAATATTTTGGTATACTTAAAACTTAAGGTTTTTTGTGTTCAGACCTGTGTGTATTCACCAGTGATTTTGATTTATAGACACCTACAAAAGTGTTTAAGGTATGTTCAATATTTCACCAGTTAATTTACTAGGGCTTGTAACTTAGATTTCTTTATATAGTTTTAAGATTGTATTCATACACAGTCCCTTAAACAGTCCCCTGTTGCCCCTCTCGGGTCTTAACTGTTTGCTTCTGTGTAATATAGAAGCAGACAGACTTGCAGTCTGTATATGAGCCCCCCTCCCCCCTCTGTGAAGCTGCTGCTGTGTTATTTTCCAGGATTGATGACTGTCTAAAGAGGTGTTAATCTCCTTCTTGCTGCTCCAGCATTCACGCTGGTATTGAATTGAACTATAGGTAACAGCAGGGAACTCATTAGAGGTGGCTGCCACATTGCTAGAGCTCACTGTTTACTCTGAGTTAATTAAAGGATTATAGCTGGCTGTTTATGGAACATGTGAGAATGAAATAAAGGGAGACAACGACAGAGTCCTTGCATTAGCAGTTAACAAAACTAATGAAAATGGAGGCAATTTAATTCAAACTGCCAAAATATTGCCAAATTAATTCACGTAGAATAGTCCTGTTTCCAATACCCTCTGCTTGTGTACATGTATTTGTTGCATGTTTGTTTGCTGTTGAGTTTGTCACTGTAAGAAGCACTTTAAATAAACTCTGAGTTCATTTTTATTGGCAGAAAGTGCATATTCCTACTGAAGCTTTCTAGGGAAGTAGACATAATTCCCTTTTTATCAGTCTTGATTAATCAATGGATCATCTTAGGAACATAAACAGACATTTTCTTTGAGTGATATTAGTTAGACAGCTGTTTTTTTTTACATATTTGTTTGTTTATTTACATTTTGTGAACCATCCCTTCCATATTTTAGTACTTTAACCAAAGTAAGAGAAGCCACAAACATTGACTGGAAACACACAGCTGACAGATCATTACTTCCCCTTCTGGAACAAGATACCTGTACGGTAATTTTCTTTGGCCTGACCTGACATTGCTGATTTTATCAGTCATTATCCACGACTAAGCTCAGAATAGCTTCCCTCTTGTCTTTAGCCCGGAGAGCTCAGCAGCAGCTAGCTGGTCTGATGGGGGGGGGAGTGCTAAGCTTATTAGCTGCAGGGTTAAATGATGAAGTGCATCCTCTGTTGAGTGTTAAGGCTCCCTCTTCACTTTCTGCAGCGACTCATTCGTTACGGAGGAGTGTGACTTCTTATTTTGTCAGACACACCAAGTTGGATCAGTTCTGTGGCTAGCATTCATGTATATGCATTCAGCTGTGTTTTTATTATGCACCTGGAATTTCAAATTGGACTTTACTTTATAGTCTTTTTCATTCAAAACCCGAACTGAGTAAGTAAACTCTCTCGACTTTTAATACAGAGGATGTACATATGTGTGTCGAGGCATCATAGTTCCTGCAGGAAATTGAAGAAGGTGCATCTGCAGTGCACTGACATATTGTCATGCATGAGGTTATCAACACTGTATGTGTGCTACACTGTAAGTGTGGGTGTAGTTGTGCATCTTCGCTAGTTGTGTGTCATGAAAACATGGTGGTCTTTGTTGCAGGTGCATGGGAGACTGGATTTGCATGTGAACAAGACCACATATGCAATTTTATCTCCCTGTTTTTCTGTTTATCTTGTGATTGTGTCATTGCTTTTTATTTGCATTTAGGATAAAAACAGTCTCGAAGCTTACACCAAACTAAATTAAATCAACTAAAGTATTATACAATCCATGTACTGAATACTGTAGGTGGTTTTGCATATTTCCCATCATTTACAGTATTTCTTTACAGAGGTTAAAGTTAATGGGAGCCAGGTGCTGGTAGATCAAGTTTCAAAAACAGATCTTTGTCATAACACTGATGCAAACAGCTTAATGTTAGGGGCGCTTTGACATCCCAAAACTCCACAGAGTCTGTAAACCAAGCAGATCCTGAAACATCTTGTCTCATAAGCATCTTGTCTCATAAGCACTTTAATTAGTAGATGACGACCTAAGAGATAGCGGCACTCATTGAGTAGGTGGCATTTGCTGTTTAAGGTTAAAGCTCCTCTAGTCAATCAAAAGATTTTTTGCCTTAACAATGGATCAAATGACAAACCCTCAGAGTTATCACCCAACTGCAGCTCCACAGAGCGTCTCTCGGCTCATTGCTTAGGTTCTTTCAGGCCGGCAACTTAAATGTTTGTTTTGGTTTACTATGGTGTCTCTCATCAGCCTCATTTTCAGCAGCTACAGATACAGCCCCAAGCACACAGAAAGCCAGTTATTGCAGGTTTAAACTTGTTAAATATTTGTTTTTAAGAAAAGCAAAAGTTGTTTTTGGAAATTCCTGAAACTGCTGCCTTTTACCGGAGCAGTTAATCCAGATTTTTATCTGTAAAATGATTTTTTCCTTTTTTACATCACTGTCCTTCCTACCCATCTTCCCTCCCTCTTTTATATCAAAAAGGTTCAAGGTCATTTCAGATTATTTCTTACAACCTTTTTTTTTTCTGTCTCTCTCTCTTTCTTTCCTCCTCTCTTTCAGCAGTCTAAATCGCCGCTGCCCTCACATCACTCACAGCCTCAACAGAAGCAGCGACCATGGGCAAACAGAACAGCAAGCTCCGTCCCGACGTCATGCAGGACCTGATGGAGAACACGGACTTCACCGAGCACGAGATCACCGAGTGGTACAAGGGCTTCTTGCGGGACTGCCCCAGCGGCGCTCTCTCCATGGAGGAGTTCAAGAAGATCTATGCCAACTTCTTCCCTTACGGAGACGCCTCCAAGTTCGCCGAGCACGTCTTCCGCACGTTTGACGCCAACGGAGATGGGACCATAGACTTCAGGGAGTTCATCATCGCCCTGAGTGTGACCTCACGTGGCCGACTGGACCAGAAGCTGAAGTGGGCGTTCAGTATGTACGACCTGGACGGGAATGGATACATTAGCAAGGCAGAGATGCTGGAGATTGTAACGGTGGGTTTACTGTTATTGTTTGGTCTGTTTTGGTCCCTTTTATCTTCATTTCCCTCCATGCTTTGTTCTCTCAACCGTTCAGACTTTCTGCTTCTCTAGCTTTATATAGCCCTCAGACTTCCAGTGGCCATTGCATGCCATCATGGTAACAACATGTTCCCTGATCCTATAAGTACTCCTGCGCTGTGAAGCAACATTTTGCTCAGCCATCCACACCAGCTGCTACATCATATATCCATCTGCTTCTGTGTTCTGCACCATTTGACTGCCAGCAGGAAAACCAGACGCTGTGTAATTTTAGAAACCAGCAGTCCCTCTCAGGCCCTCAGACGTCTCTAAATAAGACCTGACTGTGGTGTATTTCTAGAAGGGAGCGGCCGTCTTCTGATCTTCATATTGACTCAGCACTGTATCCAACAACTAAGCGGTTCCAGGAAGAGCTGTCCCCCCCATCGTTTCCTCAGCAGCTCCAGGGTTATTTTACAACAAATAGTATCAAGCAGACTCACACTCACATTCACGCACACACGCACCAGCAGTCCCTTACACATGTTGTTACATCGCACATCCCGGTGCTAAATTGAGCAGAGTGCCAAACAATGTGTAATCCCTTCCTCCAAGTCAGAGGTTTTTATTTAGGTGTCTGTAAAGTGAGCAGGTATATTTATGTATAGCCTTGATACATCTGATTATTTTCATTACAGATCCATCAATTATTTTATAATTAGCCTTTTCAGATTAATGGATTGTTTAGTCTATAATATCTAGTGATTAACAACATTTTACACCAATTTTATACGTACGGCAAACTACCACCAACATGCTATATGATAAATTATCCTCAGCAGATACGCAGTCAAGAACACTGAAGTCAAGCATAAAACTGCAAAGAGACTGTAAGGGAGTAATAGTTTATTATGATGCAGGGCAGTGAGGATACAGCCATTTCATGCAGGAGAGAAGCGTACACATGCACAGCGAGGCACATACAACTGGACTGAACTCTTTCCAGTGGTCTGACTGGTCTGACAGGACGATCAGTGCCCTGATGTCTTTGGTTACTTTGATTCACTTGAAAGACTCTCCAAAACACCTCAATGTGTTCGGAAGCAATGGGAAAACTCTAAACTGCTGCAAGACGTTGCAGGAACTATTATATATGTATTATATATATTGATAATAAACAGATTAACAAAACACCTCACTTACTTCCTTAGTAACTTAAGTTACCAAGAATCTATGAATTAAGATTAATTATTCATTCATCTATTACAAATGCCAAATATTTAAGTACACCTTCTCAGATGCTTGGAGCTGTTCATTAAGATTCATCTAATTAAAACAAACCAATACACCAACTAACTAACTGATAATAAATACAGTTGACACCTGCAGCCCCTAATCACAATCACTGCGTGTGTTTGTGTGATTGAGTCAGATGTACGCAACAAATGATCTGACAAATTCTAACTGCGTGGCAGGTTGAAAACCAAACATTGGAAACAATACTAATAAATACCAACAGCTTCTGCTTTAAATATCTCAAAACAAACCTGAACAGTGAGGCAAACACATTCACTCTTGTCAATTTATCATCTATTTAATATCAGACTTCCCGTTCATTTCTCTGCAGTTATATCAGGTCCCAGAGCCAAACCTAAATGAAAGTAATCCTTTATCTGTCTTCCTCCCAGAAGAGATAAGTTAACTGATAGGGCGTATATACTGTATATTTCACTGAGATGTTATTTTTTCTTGCAACAATCCAGCTGATGCAACATTGCTTCATACAACCCTGCAGTTGTGCTTCTGGCCAGAAATTTGATCAGACTGTACACTCTTTATGGTTGTCTTTATTAAAATGTACTACAACTAGTTAGAGGTTACTTTAAGTGAGTTAACTGACCAAAAAGCTTTAATTTAACTGTTATTAATTAAGATTCCATACTAATATTTATGTTAATGATCTGTTCTCTCTGTCTTCAGGCTATTTACAAGATGGTTTCCTCTGTGATGAAGATGCCTGAGGATGAGTCCACGCCTGAGAAACGCACAGACAAGATCTTCAGGCAGATGGACTCAAATCGAGATGGTAAGACTTCCTCAGACACTCGTTTCACTGTTTCTGTTGAAATGGTTGCTTATTTAAAGCCTCTAAATGAAAGTAATTAATAAAAATGACTTTGGAAATCTAGTCTATGAAAGCAGTGACACGGAATTATTGTACAGTTCTCAACCAGCCTAATCAAACTCAGTTCTACCAGGTTTGACTGACACAAAATAGCCCGATCAGAGCCTCAAACTGCCTCAAGTCTCTGTGGATAACTTTACTTTAAACATTATAACTTTTCACTTATGTGAGCTTTTATATGTTTTTATCAGAAAGCTATGACCAAATGATGATTCGAATAGGAAAACAGTTTCACTGTGGTTCTAACGAAGTGAAATTTGGTTTGGTCGATCAGTTATCAGTCTCTCTCTGCATGTCGAGCTTACTGAACTCCCAATTATACCACATAGAGGAGAATATGGGCCTATTCATGGGAATATGGGAATATATTTTTGTCATGGGAAACCGGATGGCCAATCTGGCGACACTGGTCAAAATCTGTAGAAGCATTCTAGCAGTCTAAGTTGAAGCCGTTAATAACTAGAAGGAAAAGTATTGCTGTAAATATTATTTAAAAGACCTGATAAAAGAACGTGTCACATCACCTCAGGGAAGATATCTGCTCTTTATTTTTCTCTTTTTGATCATCTTAGATCTGCTGCAATGAATAAACAAGACAATTAAGCAATAAGCTCTAATCTGTCCCTCTTTCTCTCTCTCGCTCTCTTTCTCTCTCTCTCTCTCTCTCTCAGGTAAACTGTCCCTTGAGGAGTTTGTTGAGGGAGCGAAGAACGATCCCTCCATTGTCCGGCTGCTTCAGTGCGATCCCAGCAGCGCTGGGCAGTAGAATTCTGGACTTTTCCCATCTCATTTTGATTAATTTAACACATTTTCAGAAATCTCTCCCAGCTGACCCACCTGAGATTGATCACTTGACCTATAGAGACACATGCGCACACACGCACACATACATACAAACACACACA